AAGTGATGATTTTCAGAAAAGGGTAAAATCGGCACTTCTATACAGATACAAAAATGAATATATCTTAAAGATTTTATTTAACGCATTAATGAGGAAATTGGTGAGGTGTTACAACCAGTTCAAAGGAGAATTAGAGAAAGATACACTTATAAATCAAGACTATCGAAATGAAGGTACAAATGGAAGCAAAACTGGCCGGTTTCATGGTGGAGAAAGGAAGTCGGCTGAACTTGTACTGATCAGAATTTACATGTCTACTGGCAAGGATTACTGTGCAATGCTGCCAATTATTTACGGCTTCCAGAGTTATAAAATAGCTCACACAGAATCAAGATCCAGGTAATGTGGAAGGCTGTAGACAGTGCTTAGTCTATAGACAATACATATTTTTCTGTTGCAGTATACATTTATACAGTTGCCTCCATTTCTATAAAAAATAATCTCAAAGTGAAATACTCATGATCACAAAATAAGCCTGATCTCATTTGGTTTGGCCTGATTAGTCACATAGGTGCAACAACCAGATAGGCCTTTTTAAGTTTGCTTTACTGGAAATTTTCATAAGGAATCTCAGATTGGACTTCTAAAGACCTCTATTATTTCCTATCCTGAGATTAGGAAGTCAAACCCAAGAAACTCTTTCTACAAGGTTTTGCCTGCAGTCCCTAAGAAAAACAAGCAGGTACACAGATTTCTCTGAAGCTGTTGTTCCTAATTATAGTCTCAATCACTTACATTAATCATAACTTTTAACCAAACTACATTCTATTCTTTCTGTTTCACAAAGAAAACCGTATGTGGGCATGTATAATTGTGAACTGTCACATACCAGCTAAAATGCAGATGAGCAGAACTCACGAAGACAACTCCCTACAGCTACACACATCTTTCATACAACCTAAGTGGTGAAAATGAATACATTCATCGGTAGACCCAAAAATATAGCCTCTCTATAGTAATAAAAGTAGAAGCAAAAGCATTAAAATCTTATGCTTAGCCATCAATGTTTCAGTATTCTATCTTACTTAGAAATGACCTAAGTATCCAATGAATATACGTTTACTCACTCAATTTAATACCACTCCAGTGTTCTCAGTTACATAAAGATGCTGGAAATTTAATATCAAGCTGACATCCTATAAAACATAATACATATTGAAATAAAGTTTGTCAGAATGATTATTCAACTGGTTAAACACAAATTTACATTTTTTATAATCTTAAACATTAAATAGAAGTAATGCTAGTTTATTGGATCTGTAATAACCTATATAAGTTTATGAAGAGCATATCAAGCAAAATTAAAATATACACTTGTATTATACTTAACACTGACAAATCGGAAAAGACATAGCTGTTTTTATTAAACCAATATTGTTAAACTGGTCTTGTCTGCCAAAGATTTACCTAATTTATGTGAACTTGGTTTCCTGAAATGCTTCTGAGTTAGAGGTTATAAAAATACCTTTTTCCCCAGCATTCTTTCTAGTTATTATTTTAAGTATTAGAAGTTTGATTTCCTTATTTTCTGGGGATCTCAAGAATATTCAATTTACATAAGTACTTATTTATATATATAAGCCAATCTAAATAGGGATTCTTTAAGAAACTTTATAACTTACTAATACTATCTGGAGGTAGGAAGACATTACCACTTACACCTAATGCTCTTGTGAATTACAGACGCACAGTGATACAGACTCTGATAACAACAGTTTATAGCTTCAATTCTAAACTGTCAGCCACATGTCAAAAGTAAACACAGAAACACAAAACTCACCTGCCCAGATGTCAAAGAGCTTTTCTCTTCCCAGTGGACACAAAATGCTTAATTGATTTGAGCTTAAGATAGACAAAAAATACTAACAAAACAGATTCCTTGTTGTCTCTCACCTAACATAGGAGAAGCCATTAAGCCATTAAAGGGATTTCCACATGGTCAGGCAAAACTAAATTTCCAATCATTGCTGACACCAATGATTATTGCCCATAAATGAACCAGAGTGAAAACTAAAAACAAAATTAGTAGAAAGGAAAATTAAAACTAGAAAAGCACAATGTCTGCAAAGTTTTATTGCCACTGTGGGGCCAAGAAAAGACACGTCTGATGCGCCTCTGTCATGATCCATTTACTTCTATTAATAGTAGGTGAATCTATTGGACATCCTAGTGGGAAACTTCCAAAGACACTAAAAGGTGATTTCCAGGGAAGGGTAAAATAAGACTCTCATAAATATATGAAAAATGAACACATGTTAAAGATTTCATTTAACTCATTAACAATGAGCTGGTGAGGTTCAAAATACATAGATGAGAAATATGGAAGCAACCGTGTGTTTGGAGTCAAAGCCGACTTTCTCCAGAGAGGGAGTCAGTTGATTCATTCCCAGGTAGGTATATGAACTCCAATACAACAATCCTTGGCATTTTAGAGTAAATAGGACACTTCCACATGCATTATTTTATTTTATCCTATGTTCAAGTGAAGAGTTTTTTCCATATATAGATTTTACAGTATGTAAAACATATGAGTTTGTACACGTGCTTCTCACAGTGTCCATCAAAGAATCTGTATTCAAACAAAACTAATGAATTGCCCATAGACATCAACTCCTCAATTATAAATCAGATTGTTAACTTAAGTGATAGCAACTAGACCATTGGAAGCCAATTATCATATCAAGATTGTGCTCATGGAGCCTGGCAAAGTGATTAAGGCACAATTTTCCTTGAATTTTCTCATTTTTAGAAAACTATAATTCGTAATGAGGGACCTAAATAAAAACAAGCCACAGAAAATAGCAATTAATATCAATACAAGAAAAAAATCTATTGTTTCATTTCAAATTCTAACTCTTCTATGTAGCGGATGACTGTCATATCTTAAGGATATATGTTGTTAGAAGCACTATAATGTAGTAACTGAGAACCTGGACTCTGGGGTTAGACTGTTGAGGTCAGAATTCCTGCTCCACCAACGATTAGCTATATTACTTCAAATAAGTAACTAACTTAAACTCTTAGTTCTTTAATTTTCTCCTCCATACAATCAAGATAATAAGAGAGCTAACATTTAGGCTTATTATGAGAATAATATTAAAAGAGATAATTGTCTTAAAATACTTAGAACAGTGCCTGATACATAGTAAGCACTCAATTAATGTTGGTTACTTTTATTGCAAAGATGGAGCAAGCTTGAGAGGGGTGACAATATTTGTAACTGACCTTTGAGGTTGTCCTGAATATCCCATATCTTTACTTTGTTATATTCAGATGAATCCTTGTTTATTTTTAAGGAGACCCCAATGGATCCTGTCCGAGTGCTCAGCTGGCTCCGTAGAGACCTGGAGAAAAGTACGGCAGGGTTCCAAGATCTTAGGTTCAAGCCTGGAGAATCATCACTTGGAGGGGAAATGATCAACTCAGGAGACCCACGCAAAGGTTTCTCTGTAGACTATTACAACACCACCAATAAGGGCAGTCCAGGGAGATTGCATTTTGAGATAACTCACAGAGAGAAACCTTCCCACGGCTCCACGGTCCCAACTGGCAGTGGAAGTTCCATAGATGAAGTTTCCTTCTATGCTAACCGCCTCACAAATCTAGTCATAGCCATGGCCCGCAAGGAGATCAATGAGAAGATTGATGGCTCTGAAAACAAATGTATCCATCAGTCATTGTACATGGGGAACGAACCCCCACCCAGCAAAAGCCTGAATAAGGTAGCATCAGAGCTGGTGAATGAGACTGTCTCTGCATGTTCCAAGAGTGCTGCTTCAGACAAGGTTCCTGGCTCTGGAGACAGAGCCTCAGGATCAAATGTGAAATACAAGACCACTTTGAAGATGAAGGAGAGCACCGAGGAAAGCAAGAGTCCCAATGACAAGCCTGCTTCTAGGAAGTCTTTCTTCTATAAGGAAGTGTTTGAATCTTGTAATGCAGGTGATGCCAGAGAGGGTAGAAAGTTCTTACCTGGGGAGAGAAAGATGTTTCAAGGGCAGGAAAGGCCTGATGACTTTACAGCTTCCATTAGTGAAGGGATCATGACCTATGCTAATAGTGTGGTGTCTGATATGATGGTCTCCATCATGAAGACACTGAAGATCCAAGTGAAAGACACAACCATCGCCACCATCCTGCTGAAGAAGGTCCTGCTCAAGCATGCGAAAGAGGTGGTCTCAGATCTCATTGACTCCTTCATGAAGAACCTCCACAATGTCACAGGGACCCTCATGACTGACACAGACTTTGTCTCGGCTGTGAAAAGAAGTTTGTTCTCTCATGGAAGCCAAAAGGCCACAGATATCATGGATGCCATGCTGAGTAAGCTATACAATGTCATGTTTGCCAAGAAGGTCCCTGAGATTGTCAGGAAAAGCAAGGACAAGTCTGAGAGTTATTCTCTTGTCTCCATGAAAGGAATGGGTGACCCTAAACACCGAAATATGAACTTTGCAATGAAATCTGAAGCTAAACTGAGAGAAAAAATGTATTCTCCTGTACCCAAACCAGAGAAGCCAAAGACTTGTGCTGAAACTCTGGGTGAACACATTATCAAAGAGGGATTATCCTTGTGGCATAAAAATCAGCAGAAAGAATGTAAATCTCCAGGTTTCCAGCGTGCAACATTTGAAGCTCCCCACAAACCATGTAAGCCTGTACCCGACTTTCCCTTTGAATATCTTCAAGATCCTTGCAACTTCAGCCCCCCTGTCTGTTACCCAGAGACACCTGAGAATTTCATGTATGATTCAGACTCCTGGGCCAAGGACCTGATCGTGTCTGCCCTACTTCTGATTCAGTATCACCTGGCCCAGGGAGGAAGAATGGATGCACAGAGCTTCCTCGAAGCTGCTGCCACCACCAACTTTCCCGCCAAGAAGTCCCCCGTAGTTCCTGATGAGTCCTGCCTTAGGTCTCCTCATGTGGTAGGTGACAAAGAACAATCAGAAAAGAAGGATCTTATGAGTGTTTTCTTCAATTTTATCCGGAACTTACTTGGTGAGACCATTTTCAAGAATGACCATAGCTGTCAACCCAACGTGCCAGAACAGCCAGTTAAAGAAGAAGATAGCAACCCATGTGAAAGACCTGCAACCCCTCCTCCTGTCAAACTATGTGAAGGGGATGAGGCTGGTGGTACCTTTTCCGGGCTGACTAAGATGGTTGTCACCCAGCTAGATGGCCAGATGGGCGGGAAAATGGTGGATCACCTGGTGGACTCGGTGATGAAGCTGTGTCTCATTATTGCCAAGTCCTGTGACTCTCCCTTGGCAGAGCTGGGAGATGACAAGTGTGGAGATGCCAACATGCCAACATCAGCCTTCGCAGACAATTTATATGAGTGTTTACCAGTCAAGGGCACAGGGACAGCGGAAGCTCTCCTGCAGAATGCCTACCAAGCAATCCACAATGAACTGAGAGGTATATCAGGACAGCCCCCTGAAGGGTGTGCAGCACCCAAGGTGATTGTCCGCAATCACAACCTAACGGATACAGTTCAGAACAAGCAACTCCAAGCTGTCCTTCAATGGGTGGCCGCCTCTGAGCTCAATGTCCCTATTTTGTACTTTGCTGGTGACGATGAAGGGATCCAGGAAAAGGTAAGGAAGAAAAGTCAGAGGAATTTGGAAAGCTTTATTAAGGGTTGATTAGGATTTTAAGTTCTATTTTCTTTCTGAATGGTAATATAGCTACGGGAAAGGTAAATGAGAACAGTAGAATTTGAAGACCATGCCTCTCGACAGAGATATCAGATAAAGTAAAATTAGATTTTGCCCAATAAGAGGCATATCAAAGGGAAAAAAAAGAATAAATGATACTTTTTCTTTGTTTCCTGCATTTAGTGGAAGGAGTGTGCAGATGAGGAACCTCTAAAACACTTGGTGAAAGAATTAGATTCAGGTCTGGGCCTTAGGCTGAGTTTTGAATAGGACAGCGTTGCCCAGAGGGTGAACCGAAGCTGCTAGAAAGAATCCCTGGAATGTGTGGGGCAGGTGGCAGAGGCTCTGGCTTTATGACCTTTTCAAACCTGCCATTACTCTCTTAGCTGCTTATCTAGGTGGTATTGGGGATTTGAAATGATTCCATAAATAATATCTCCCTCTTCCCCACACCTTAATCAATTGAGGACTAAGACTAAAGCATAAAGCAGATGGACAATCAACCTATCACTGTTATTACTGATAAAAGTAAGTGTGCCTTCTAAGTCCTTGCTTCTCCAGCCTTGGGACTGTCCGCTGGAGGGAAAGTTAGTCTGAAGAGCATGCACACTTGTCCAAGCTGCTCCTTCGTACTAAAGTGGGGAGATTCAAACAGAGACCACCCCAGAACTAACGCACACATTCTCTTTCTCTTTCTCACCTTTTCACTGTGAAAAACTGGATCAAGAGCTGTTATCAGAGGTGGCACAAGAGGCTTGGGTTATTGTTAAAAATTGATCATCATAGAAACCAGAAGATGTGGAGAAAGAAGTTATCTCTGTTTAATAAGTAATATTAGCAACCCCTGTAACTGGATAACTGGGTTAATCTGGTGACTGGGAAGACAGGATTAGAGAGCATCCAGGTTAGGCTGTACCATGCCTAAACAAGAAACTGTATGATGTTTCACTTTAGTCTTAGCAAGACTTTTAGTCTTAGCAAGACTATGCTTGCTACTCAAAGTGTAGTCTGTGGACCTACAGCATTGGCATCACCAGGGAGCTTGTCAGAGGAAGTACAGAATCTCAGG